TAACAGAATACTTAATTATTATCTTTATAAAATGTTATATTATTAAACCAAAAATAAATTATTTCATTATTAAATTTAAATTAAATTATAATAAAAAAATAAATTAAARAAATTACATAAAATATAGAAACTTTTAAATAGTTGATTGGATATTAATATTGATATATATTTTTTCAAAATTTTATTATATTTTATTCAAAAATAAAATCATTATTGCTTTCTTAAAAACACATAAAATCATATTATAACATCTACAAAGACACATAATAAATAGAACATTAAAATCGAGATTTGTCTCGCTGCATTGCGCGAGTACTTTTCTAGTATATATATATATATATATATATAGAGAGAGAGAGAGAGAGAGAGAGTGAGAGATAAATAGATAGATAATTGTTTGGGGATTTTGGCCCTCGCAGTGGACAAGTGGATTACTTGCCACTTTGGACAATTACAATTTCTTTTGATCCCGAGTTTTAGATTTTGCGTTTTAACCAATACTCAATTTAATTAAATTTTCAAACAACCTTGCAAATTGCATTTATTATCTTTAAAATATAATATCTACATATTTAACCAAACATATGACTTCGTTACTAAATGAAACTTATGCTTGCTAATTTAACCTTGTATTGTCACAAAACTCTCTTCATAAGTGTGTGTGCAGTCGGGAGTGAATCTAGTTTGAGGACATTGCGCATCATGCATTCAGATTTGAGTTTTTTTTGTTTTTTGTTTAAAACATATTTGTTCATTGCCACCACCAACCACAAAACTTCATATTTAAATTTTATGAAAAGCTAGAAAAAAAGTACACTACCACCACCATATACCAAAATAACCGTTGACGGAAAAACCAAAAAACCTACATCATAAAGTTTCTTATTTGAAACCTAATGGAAAAAAAAAAGATATCAGAAGATGAAATATATATAAGCGATACGCTGCAAATCCAAAATCCATACAAGATTAAATACGAGAATCTGGAGAATTAAATAAAAAGATGTAAAAAGGAGTAAGGACGAAGAGTGACCGCGAGGGAGAGGGCAAAGACAACAATGCTAAGGGGAATAGGGAAGGGGTGGGGGGCATCATAAATTAAGGCAGAATTGGAACTCAAGAAATATAAGACAACAAAGACTTTAGGCTTATTTATATTTTAGCCAAACATTTTAAGGCTCATGAACGTATTGTTTCAAAGCCTCTACAACTTACATCGACGTTGTTCTCATGATCTAATTCAAGCTCGCCGTCAAACTAGACGTATAAGTTGAACATATCGTATATAGAGTGTAAATATATACCCATAAAAATCATAAACTTGTAAGTTGAACAGATCATTTGAACGATCATAGTTTCTACTATCATTGTTTCTCATGTTCTCTATACTAACTTGATCGTCAAGGCATATTCGCTGACGAATTCCCTAGACAAATCTTATATATTTATTGTAAATTATATCAAATCCATCTAACCAATTAACCAAACCCTATTCAAGTTCACGAAGATTCTACACTTTCACACCCCCGTAACATGATCATAATTGTAAAGTACAACGATACAAAAATAAAAATATATATTTAATTTGATTTGTGATTTAATAAAAGTGTTTCATTGATAATTAAATCTTAATGTACTTTTTATCAAAGATTTCAAAATTTTGTTAACCAGTCAATTGTTTTAATAATGTATACGATTTACAAACATAAAATGTTAATTTCAAGATTTTTAATTCAATTTATTCGGCTTTTCTACTTTTTGTTCAATAATTATCATTTATTATTATTTCTAGAAGATTTAGAAGTTTCGGTTAGAATTGTTTAAAGAACTAAATATTGCTTAAAATAATGAATGTGTATTGGTCGTTCAAGAACTATTGTAATTTAATGATAAAGGAATGGAAAATATATCATCGTTTCCTGTTTCGTTTTCTCTTGTCTTCTAGACGAAGTATCCAACAATTCACAATCAAACAGATACGTTTGTCAATTAATTAACATAACGTAATAATTTATTATATGAGGTTAACAAAAGTTTGTTACAATTTATGTTCATATTTTCTTAAATAATATGTTTTTTTATCAACTGAACATCAAGGTTATAGTTCTTAATAGAAACAAGTGTCGACTTCATTGGTCTCAAAAGCTTGCAACAGGTTAAATGGTCGCTCACAATTTCAAATCTCTATTCACCTGTAACGTTGGAATTGAACAGAACATATTTTAAGTAATAATAATGATTAAGAATTAAACTAATACAATTAAAAAGTTAACCGTTTTAAAACCATCAGATTAAATGATCAAAACGTTAGATTTATGACCAATTTTTAAGTTTTTTAGAGTTAAAAAACTTTTTAAGATTGATTTGAATTAACTTCTTTATAATTTAAGAAACAAAGTCATATGAAATCAAATCAACCTGAGGTCCTACAAATAAAAGTGTATAATTTAATTAAAAAATTGAGGAATGATTTAGTATTTTAATGATTTAAATAAGGAAAAAAAATATTAAAATTAAGAACCAAGATCTATTTTAATAATTATTTATTATAATTGTTAATTAAAAAATAAATCAAAATAAAACATTTAAAATTGCAAATTTTCTAAGAGGATGAAATAATAATAATAATAATGATAATAATAATAATAATAATGGGAAAACCACATGTTGAAATAGTTATTTGTCTTTAGCTCACATCTCCACCTACCACCCCACAACCCACACACATGAACAAGATTCCTGCCCCCCTCTCTCTTCCTTTTACCAATTTTCAACTCTCACCTAACCCCCTTTTCATTAATTAAATTCTTAATTACCTTAATCCCACATCATTACCAATTTAATCACTTCGCACCTACTTAATACCACAATTAGGTTAAACCAAAGAAACTAGTCTTTTTTCTTTCTATTTAGTCGACATATCGTTATATTACATACTAAAATATAAATACAAGTAATTAATTTAAACGTCTTTATCAGTTCATTTACGTGTATTTTTCAATATTTTCCCGACTTTTGGATTACTTATCAACATCAATTTGCAATGCTTTCACAGTAGGTAATCACACATTCTAAATTCGTGCACAACACAAGAAAATTTACACGTTCTAGGACTTTATAGATTAAAAATCGTATTTCTATTACGAAAACACTTATTTTAGTAGTAACAAAAATTAGGTATGTTTTGAAGGAGAAAGAAATGAAAGCAATAATGAAATTGGAGATGTGGAATATATGTTGGAAATGCAAAGGACCACACCACATGGAATGAATGATTAAAATATATAAGGAGGTAGTGGTGGTGGTATAGGTAGTATGTGATTTTGATAAGGACCATCTAATTTTTTTTTTATTTTTTTTTATTTTTATTTTTTATTTAAACAAATGTTTAAGATTCAGGACAGGCGGCTGCTCCATGGATTCATAACCTGCCATCATCAAACTAAACAAGCACACCTACACCACCACTTATCTCATCACTCCTTATCCGGGTCGGGTCGGACCAATAATGAACATTTTTAATGTTAAAAACTAAAAAGAATAATGTTTAAATTTGAGAAATAAATGTAATAATTTAAAACAGTAAATAAACGATGAATAATTACGTAATAAATTGATTTGATAAAAAATATTAAGAAAAACATACACAATTTGTTTAGAAGTTTGGGGATTATGAACCCCTAATTCTCTCTTTCAAATGGATATGGAGTCCACACCATATTTACGTACACATTAAACCCCAAGTGAAAATACACAGATTTAAAAATCATAACTAAACACAAGAGTAATAAAAATAATGACGTCATAAATCGATCATTGAGAAGGTGACCAAGGGGTCATGTCCATGGGATAGCTACCCAACACCCTCAGGAACGATGTGAATTCTTGAACCTCTGCCAATGCGTTTTGTGCCCTAACGTCCGCCATGGAAGCTTCGAAATCAACGTAGAACAGGTACTCGAAGTGTTTTGCGGTTCCGACGTTCTCGTCGCCAACCAGCCTGATCGGACGGTTGCGATGTGGCCGGCTTTCGATTTTTGTTAAGCTGATGTTGCGGAATGCGAACGCCGATAGAACTTTGAACAGAACCGACGTTCCTTTGTCGTGAGCGAATACGATGCTTGTTTTGAACGGGATGTCGATCCGTGGTATGATTGGCTCACGAGCCAGCATCACGAACCGTGTAACATTGCTTGAATCGTCCTGGATTCCGTCCGCCAGGATGTTCATGCCGTACAGCTCCGCGGCGCGTGCAGATGCGATTGCAGCTGTGTCGCGGAGGTTGTTTGCCGCAACGAATTCGGCTGCTCCGGCAGTATCGTCGACGGCCTCGCGAGTGACGTTCAAGCCGAGTTTGGTGAGAGTTAGCTCGCACTGAGCCAGAGCTTGCGGATGGCTTATCACGCGGTTCAGGTATTCTTTTCGGACGCCTGGTAAGGCCAGGAGGCAGTGGTGAACCGGGAGCTGGACTTCTCCAACGATGTGGAGACGGTGGCGAAGAAGTAGATCGTAATTCCGATGTATGCTGCCGCCTAGCGAATTTTCAACCGGCAAAACAGCACGATCTGCAATCCAAAGCTCCACCGTTTGAAATGCGACCTCAAATTGGTCACAAGGAATGGCCTCACAATTCGGATAAGCTTTACCGGCGGCGGCCTCACTATACGCACCAGGTACACCTTGATACGCAACGCGCAGCTGCGAACCGTGCATCGGCGCCGGTGATAAGTCAGCGATGGTGAGTGGCTTGGGCAAGTTATGAATCGGAACTAGATCTAGACTGCTATGTCCGTTGACAAGGGTGATATTATTATCAGTGCCGCTGGACTTGTCGGTGTTCTGCTGCTGCGATTCGACCTTGCTAGCTAAGATAGCACATGAGCTCTGCCAATCGGTTCGGCTCTTACCAACCCCCCCAGATGCGAAGTTGGTGGTGGTGTGCGTGGGCGCCGACAGGGGAGGATTAGTTGGGTTGGCAGCGGCGGCGTCAAAACGGCTTGCTACACATTGAACGGTGAGATTGGTTGGTTGAGCGAGGCGATGGGAAACGGTTGGGAAGGTTATGGACTTGAAACCAATAGCACCAGATGAAGGAGCAACACAATGCATTTTTACAGATGAATTGAAGACTAAAAAGGTAAAAGGAGCATAAAAGGAAAAAAAAAACAAATAGCAAAATTTAAGCTTCTAAGCTGAGAAAAGAGGAAGGGAAGGAGAGGGGTTTTATATCGGTGGTGGCTTCGAGTGGTTGGGTCAATCTCACACCTACCCCCTCCCTCTTTCCTTCCTCTCGCTGTTTCTTTGACTTTTTCATCCTTCTATTTTAATTTTTATATACCAGAAGAGTCTTCTGCAATCAAAAAAGACACGTGTTGATTTTAATATTTTATTTTATTATTTATTTTTTAATATTATAATATAATTTTATATATTTTTAAAAAAATAATAATAATTTTATTTTTAAATTAAATATAAATTTAAAGATATTAT